TCAAGAATTCAAGGGAATTTAGGATAAGGCAGTTGACTTTTTCAGGGTGGTGTACAGGGAGATGAGAGCTTGCGCCTGGGACATGGTAGCAGTGAACTGACAATACCTCTTCACTGTATACAAACTCCTTAGTCAGATCCTGTACTTAAACCTCAAAACAAACAAATAAGCAAACAAAAACCAAAAAAGACCAGATAATGACTAGAAGTTTTGACTTGTGCTGAGAAGCTAAGAAACAGACAGAAAAATAACCAAAATGGAAATTGTTGGTGACCATAGCTAAGAGCGGTTTGAGTGCAGAAGATAGGAAACAGGAGTGGTTTGGGGTTTGTATCAGACATGAAATGGCAAGAACGTGACTGGTAAGCATCTCCACTGAGTTTAGTAGTGAAATAAAGATTTCTAGCCATAATCTTTACATTAACACACTCTCCTGCTTAACACATTCCAGTGCCTCTTCAATATAATTTGAAAAAAGTCCATGGTTTTTATTATACATTAATCAATGTCATTTTTTATGCTTCTGAGGCTCTAGTCTTCTCAGTTTAGTGCCTTAAAGAGATCAGTCTCATTACCACATCTGGAATCTTCTAATGCTTACTAATTTTTGAAGCTCTTAGCCATACTACCTCTATATATTCTAAATGAATGTAAGTTAAAAATGTTAATGAAGGTTGGGTGCAGTGGTGTACACCTGTAGTCCCAGCACTGTGGAGGTTGAGGCAGGAGGACTGACACAAGTTTGACGCTAGCCTGGGCTACATAGTGACTTCAAGGCCTGCCTGAACTACATGGAAGACCCTATATATATTAAAAAAAAAAAAAAGCAAACAGATAAAACCAAAAACAAAACCCACTTAACATAGTATTTCAATTTAAAAATGTTTCAGATATCTGGTTCTTAAAAACAGAAATTAATTTAGACGGTACCTTAATATTTCAGAGGTGTCTGGGATAGCCAAATATCAGAACCAATATTGTTATGAGTATTGAATAATTGAGTCACTATTTTTTAAAAATTTGGAAGCTATGAAGAAATTAAGTCTAGTGTTTTGTCATTTTTGTTCCATATATTTTATTTTATTATGGTGATGGTGATCCAGTTCAGGACCTAAACATGCTAGGCAAACACTGTGTCACAGGCCTAGATGCCCAATCCTAGATATTTATTTATTTATTTATTTATTTTTCCAATCCTAGATATTTAAATTTTGGTTAGAGAGACAAAAACAATTCAGATAATATTGAGGATGTCTCTGTTTCTTTACATAGTTCTGTTGGCAAGTTATTACCAAATGCATAAAATTGCTGTGCAGTCCATGATGTTATACCTTTATTATAATGTATATGTACCCATGAAGATTAGCATTGTTTTGTGTATTTTCTGAATTTTAGATAAATATTCTATTCTATCCTATAACTTGATTGTTTACTGAGTGTTTGGGTTCAGTTATTGATGCATTTTTGGACCCATTTTGTTCATTTTAACAGGACATACCACTATGTATTTGCCTTTCCCCTTGTTTATGGT